TGTAAAAGTAGCAGTTTGGTATGAGTTGGCATGCATACAAGATTTACTAAGTGGGATAAGCTAATTATACTTTTTGTTGTGGATAAACAAATGCTTGTTGATAGCCTTTTTCTATCAAGAAACCAAGGAGCTAATTATTAATAACAATCATTGCACACTGAGTCTTAGCGTTTCTGACGGAAACAGTTTGGATTGTATAATAACGCCAAGCCCAGTTGTAGTCGTTTGAGTGCAGTAATGAAATCTGAATCTAAAATAAAAATAAGATTATTTTTGTCATGCTGACTCCACTGCTTGAAAAATTTGTTTACTGCCCCCCAAATTTTTCATGATCAATGCAGTAAATATAAAACTTAATTTTAGCTCCCTAAGATACATATGCATTTGAAAATTTGAACCACAAAGTAAATTATTTAATAATAGTCACTGATTTCTTTAAGCTGACTTGATGAACTAATATCAGCAAATGTAAGGCCTAAGGGCACTAAACTGACTGTAGACTCCGATTATAGCCAACAGAATTACTCATTTAATATCAGTGAAATTATTCTTGCACCTAATGGCAAACCTAAGGACTGAGTTACATCTTTCACTAAGGATGTTACCTAGGATGAGCCGTATATGTTTATTAGGAAATTAACTACATGAATGGAAGAGACCAGACTTCAAAATCTAATTTTTATAAATATGCTCTGTGTTCTCATTGGATAAAACTGGTTATTAACCAATTTTCCAGAACAGCTGTACAGAATTTCTGCATGGCAGCCAGCTAAATGGTACAAAATAACATGTTTAAGCTGTAATAGCTTATAATTTCATTGAAATAAAATTGCAGCTATGAAAAGTGCTCCCCAAAGCTAAGGAAAATATACAAATATTTTAATTAAGGCAAATTCGTTTTAAAAAATCAGGCTTTTAGTAGTGACTGCTTTGTAAACAAAGGATGGGTCAGAGGAGAGTGCCTTAAACTCAAGCCTGACATTCAGGCCCATGTCACCCTATAAACCCGCCCTGAACAATTCTATTTTTATTTGAGAAGAGAAACCAGCTGTGGGTTGGGTTTACTAGGTGACGTGTGATTGACTGACTCACCTGCTGGAGCGGCAGAGCACTCTCTCACCTTTTGTTTATGGGGCCTTGTTTCTGAACACGTGGATCAGCAGAAAGGGAGCGAGGCTCAACCCAACCTTCTGCAGCCTCTCCGCGCCTCCGCCCATCCCCCCCCCAATGTATGGGATTGTTTCAATTTCCTATTTGGACCCAGTGGCAATTCTTCGTCTACATAAATAGTCCCTATTCGTGAAATAATTCTCTTTTGATAGGTGGTTACTAGCAGTTAACAACCATTTATTTACTTTAAAAATTAATAATAAACTTTATAAACTAACCATCGATTTGCCCCTCCTCTCCAGTCCGTGCCCGGGTGAGTTGGTTATTTTCAGCCTTTATTCTTGAGGAAGTTCTTGCCGGGTGGGGGAGGGAAAGAAAGAGGAGGGAGGGAGGGAGGGAGGGAAGGGGGGGGCAGGCACTAGGAGAAGGGTACTAGTGAAGGAGAATTAGGGACTATGGAGGCTATGGAGAATCAAGATCATTAGTGTTCAGTGAATTAGAAAAAATAAAACAACCTGTGTTCTTTCCCTGCGTTCCCCCCTCTGCGTGCCGGTTTTATGTGAGCGTTGCTGTCGGCGGGTCCTTTTTCCCCCTGCCTGGGCATCCCTACCTCCCCCTTAATGCTATTTCAGCTTTTCCTCTTGCAAATTTCAGAGCCAGCTCCGAGGTTATTGAGGACCCTTAACCGAAAGACGGAAATAATAGAGGTGCTGAGAGTGTTTTTGATGTTTCTTAAAAGGCAAAAACAAAACGCCCTCTTCTAAACAAGGGCACGCAATTGTACCTGATTTTTATTTTTATTTGCGGGGGGGTGGGGGTGGTGGGCGCCGGTTGAATGAGGCTACTTTTTAATATGATTTAAATACTTTTCCGAAAAAAAATTTAAAATTCCCCTATCATATTTAATCAGCTGCAATTATAACACATTCGAAATGAATAATATGCCTTGACAGTATTTTTATTGTTATTGTTCATTGCATGATGTTCGACTGCTTTAGAAGCACAGGAAAGAGAAGTAAACGCGCTACAAATGGGGAATTACCCTCGTTTAGCATTAAAATTCATTTAGATAAAATTGCCACAAACATTTAAATGGGAAGATTAGTTCCCCCTCACGCCTTATTGCACTCGCTCAATGGTTCCGTTAAGAACATTTTACACGTTGGAAATTCCGTCTTCTCAGACGGCTTGCTGTTTCCTAGTTACCCACATTCAAAGCAAAGGCAGCAGCAAAGGCAGCCGCAGCAGCAGCAGCAGGAAAAAAAAAAAAAAAAAGTTTTGGCAACTGGTCTGCAATTCATCCGCTTCTGGCCCCAGCCTCCCCTCCGCCCACAGCAGCCCGCCCCCACCCATCACCTTTCCCCTCCCCACCTCTTCTCCCCTCCCCCCCACTAGGTAACTGGCAGAGTTCTGTCGAGGAAACACGTTGCTGAGTTGTATAGTATTTGTATATAATGTTAATACACAGAACTATCAAAAAGCCAGTCTGTCCCTCTCCCAGTCTCCCCACTCCTGCTTCTGCTCTGAATTGAGGATTTACTTTGAAAGCGCTGAGTTTCTCACATCCCCTGCTCTGAGCCCACAAGGCACGTTTTTTGGCTTTCTTTTCTGCCGGGGCATTTCCAGGAACTACACCACTGATTCTTGCCTGTTTTAGAAACGTGTGAAAGAATTACTTTGAAAAAGTCCGTGCAACGTCTAGTTTCTCCCTCTCCTTTCACCGTCTCTCTTTGCTTCTCCCTCTGCCTCTCCCTCCCTCTCTCCCCCTTTCTCTCCCTCCTTCCCTCTATCTCCCCCCCTCCCTTCGCAGAGCCGCTGGAAAAGAAGAATGTCGGCTTCGACTGCCATCTTTTGGGGATTTGGAAAAACGACTCGGTAGGAATCCGAGGGAGGCGGGGGGTCGCGAGGGGTGGGGGGAACCCCCTTATTATCCCGGGTCGGAACTGGCTCCTTTAATCTGATGCTTAAATATTTGATGTGGAAAAATTACCCATAAAATTAGTTACTAACAATTTCAAATTGAAATCACTTATCGAATTATAAACGCATTAAAGCTGTATGGATGGTATTAGGAGTTCCTCGGGAAGCAACGGGTGTCTACTTCCAGTGCGACCGGCCAGAGAGCTTCGCTCCGGGGAGAGGCACCCCCGCGGAGCCCGGGGACGGGGTGGGGAGGGCGGCGCTCGGGGCGCGAGCGTCCCCGCCGGGGGAGGGGACGAGCGGCGGCCAGGCCCGGGTGGAGGCTCCGGCTCGCTCTGCTCTAGGAGGCCGGGAGAAGGGAGAGGAAGGAGCGGAGGTGGGAGGCTCCGACCCCGGGAACTAGGCGCCTACTAGGAAACTTTGTTCTGAAAAGAAACAACACCAGCGCCACCCGCCCCCTCCCGCCCGCGTCTCCCACGCGGCGCGCAGACTTTGCGCGCAGGGTTGGTCGCTGTGCGCAGCGTCCCCCGAGTCTGCGGCCGGGGCGGGAGGGGAGATGCCGGTGGCCTGGGGCTGGGGCTGGGGCTGGGCCCGCCTCCGCCTCCGCGCGCAGAGAGATCCCGCGGGCCGCGGCGGTAGCTTCGAGGATCCGGGCCTGAGCGCGGCGGCCCCTGCGTCCTAATCCTGAGTCCTGGGCGGGTGCAGGGCGGACAGGTCTCTGCGTAGAGCCCAGAGCACCCTGGGGGTGGGGGGTGAGGGATCGGTTCCGGCACCTCCAATAGCCTCCTACCTCCTTCCCAACCCAACAGGAAAGTCAAGTCTAAGGGGCTGCAGACTTCGTCTCTGGAGACGAGGCGACCCCGGGTCTGCGCAGAAGGTTGTGGAGAGGTACCCCCCTCCTGGGGGACTCCGGGCTCCCTTCCCTCCGAACGGCTCGGCTCGGGGTCCTTTGTGGTGGACGAGAGGCTTCTTGATGGACTCTGCGTCCGACCCCCGCCACGACTCCGGGAGCGGGACTGCGAGAACTTGGGACCCGGGGCCACTTGGGACCTGGCTAGCGCCCGCCAGGCGCACCTAGGGAGCCGTGGGCAGCACCCCGACGCCTTGGGCAGGAGCTCCTCGGGATCACTTTAAAGCCTCTGCAAACTTTCTCCTGCCTTTCGGATCCCAGCAGGTCCTCGGCCCAAGTGAATACAGTAAAAACCTGCCGCCGATGCAGAACTCCCGGGTCGGCGCTTGGACGCCGGGTGGAGTGGCGTGGAATGGGGTCGTGGGGCGCCCTGCCTGGCCAGTCATTTCACCTCGTTTCACTCCCCTCTCCTGGGCCACCCCTCACCCACTTGACTGTGGGGCAGCCCGTGGCACTCAGGTGGCCAGGTGCAGAGTCTACACGGGGCTGGGAATCCCAGGGCCCAGGACAGAACGGCGAAGGAGAGAGAGTGGGAAATCGCCTCTTGAGGGAGTCGCTGATGGCGAGGAGGTGGGGTGAGGAGTGTCTCATTTTGGCCCCATCTGCCTGCCAACGAGTCCGTAACGTTCTCTCCCAAGGCGGAGCTGTAAAGGAAAAAACAAACAAACAAAAAAACCCCAACATACTGAGCAATCAGTGAGCTTTTAGGAGTCTTTGCCCTAAAAACGGGTAACCCCGGGGGTCTTGGTGGGGAGATAAGGGGCATTTGAGGGTCTCAGTTACGGCGGGCCGCGCCCTGGGGTCGCCCTTCCGCGTCCTGCCTACTACCCGCCCGGCGCGCTCAGCCCACCGCGGGGAAACCCAGGCGCTGAAGCCCTGGAGAAAAGGGATTTAGTTTTAAGCCAGTCTCCCATTGATCGGGTCGGTAATTCCTACCCCTGCCCACTCGCAGACACACTCACCTCTACCCTAAAGCATTAAGTTCATTACGCGAGCAATGATCTTAATCTCCAGGCGGAAAACGAGTCCCGGGACCTCGCTGATTGGGGGAGCAGTGAAT